TGCAGCTGGCATCCAGCTGTGCCTGTATGGTTTTATGAATCGTGTAGTGAGGAGTCACTGACCGGTGTTGTGCACCTTGGGTTGAGGTAGTTCCCACGTGGCTCTCATCACTGCACATGACTGTTGTCCACACAGGTCCTCCACTCCCCCCATGCAACATTGGACCTGAAGTAATGGCAGGCCGGTTTGGGTAAAGTCTGCCTGGAGAGGCAGGTTTGAGTCATGAGTCTTGTCCTTAACTAGAACCAGCAAGAATGGTAAAATAAAGCTGTGAAGCAAAGCACAGCCCAGGACACCCGGGTTCCAGCCTTGGCTTGCCCTTTGCCAGGTTAAGAACATCATAGATGCCTTATGTCACTTTGCCTGCAAAGCAAGTGTCTTGGAAAGTAAAATACTAACTGCGGTGTTGCCCGTGACCCACAGCCCTTCCACTGCAGTGTGGAAATACCCTTTCAGGAAAAAAACCTGCAAAAATCTAATTTCTTCGGATGAGGTAACATGGTTACATTCATTTTCAAATCAACAAATGTTCTCATTTAAGAGCCCCAGCTGACAAAATAATGGACCCATCAAGATGCAGATGGAAACAAAGCACTTGCAGTAATATGTGAATTAGCGAAAAAAAACCAACCCAAAAATGTATTAACTCTTATAGATACCAACACAATGAGCTCTGGTATATGTACAAAGAGAAATTCCCTCGGGTCTCAAGGAAGGTGTTCAGCAGCTTCTTATATTCAGATCAGATACAGAATTTCTGTTCAATCTGCTTGCTGGGGAAGACCTTATATATGAGGACACGACGAAACTTAGTGCAGTCTTTAAGAAGAAAATGTGAGCAGAAACATTTTTCTGTGCTGAACAAAAGCCACTGATAAACAGAGAGCACAAACCAGCTGCATCTGGAATGCTCTCAGTTGCAGCACAAAAGAGGAATTAAAAAATCTACTCCTTACTTTGCCCGAGTAACAATTGCAGGGCGATCACTTTATTTTGTGTGTAATTATAATAATAAGCTTGACAGTGTATCTGTTATGGATTATGTATTCTGTGTGCATTATTAACATCACGACTGTTTGTCCCACTACACTCATAAGGAAAACATAAAACACAGACAAATGAAAGCAGAAGCGGCTGAGGCGGTTAAGAACAATTAAGCACTACACAGCCTCTCTGCAGGGAGCCGCTCTGGGGTGCTTTAATGGAGCAGAGCTCATGGTGTGATGCACATTTTGATAATGCTGTCTTACATATTAAGGTATAACTGTCTGCTCTGCAGGAGCTGTGGTCATGTAGCAAAAGGCAGCTACATATGCTGAGAGGGTGCTGCCTATTGCATATTTGCTCATTTCATTTCAAAAAGGAGATTCAGTTGTTAGAAATAAGATACTTCACCGGGAGATTAGCTGTCTATTTTCTGTGGCTGGGAGAGGAAAGGGTATTGATGTCACATTTTAGCTTGAAATCAGCTTGAAACTTCCACGTAGCTTTGTTATACAATGTGCAATTCTGTTACTTAAAGCTCAATATCCCTGTTCTTGTTTATGAAGAGGAAACAGAAACAAAAAAAGTCCTAAAGGACTTAAGGTGTGGCTTGCACACACCATAACTGAGATGGTCTTCTAAAAAATTATGTTTTCACTGTCCTGGTTTACTGGGACAGATTTTTCAAGTCAGTTTTCCGTTGAGGAAACCTGCTGTTTCATGGGAACACAGTTGGTAAGGCACTGTGGCATGCCTGGTGTGCGGGTTGCCACAGTGATCAAGGTCTTCAGCAGCCTTGAGTTAACCAGGTGCAGAAGTCAGGAGGAGCAAAAGCCAGGGCTGATGACCCAGGCTGAGAAATTAACAATTATTCCATACCTATTTGCTATAAACCGGGGAGTTTGCTGAGGATGCCCCTCTCCCTGCTGCTTCTCCTTATTCCCTCTTCTGTGGCTGACATCTCGAGAGGGACTTGTTTACTGTCCTGACCCTGAGGTCTACTCCCTCACAACATTGACTGAGTATAACTCAGTGTCTTTTATAACTACTATTGTTAGTTTTTATTATTACCATTTTATTAAATATATTTATATTTCATGAATCCTGTCCCTCCTGAGGTGGCATCAGGTGACAGAGCAACTGTATAAACCACAACAATTACTCATGCCAAGGTTTGGATTTTCCAAAGCTTATTTTCTTCTGCACAGCCTCTGAAAGAATCTGTCCTCTTACAGGTAGGTTTGTACCTCTGGTTCCTTAGACCCAAAATCATTCTTATATCCAAAATTTTCACTGACCTCTCCTTGGATAAGAGCCCCGAGGCAGCGTTTATGCCAAAGAGCTTCCCAGGGCGTTGGTCAGCTCAGGAGTCCAGGTAGCCCAGAGGAAGTGAGTACTTTGGGCAGTGGTAGGAGGGGAGTGAAACTAAGGAACTTACCATCAGTCATGCTTGACCGCGTTTCTTTTGCGCGGTATCTCAGCCAGGTCCTCTGCACACCTTGTAAATTAGACATATTATTGCATGTCCAAGGAATAATGGCTGAAACAGAGATCTCTGAACCTGTGTTCTTTCACTGGAGTCTTTATTTTGAAAAGAATAGGATCACTAAAGAGGTAGGAATAGCTACAGCACACTATATTAACATATCTGTTGTAAAATGTCACGGCTTTGATGCAGTCAACTTCTTACATTGACTTAAAAATAAATACAAACTTAAAGCCTACAAGCTGATGGTTTTATTTCCTACTTGAAGAAAATACTGAGTACCCTCAGAGCCAAGACTTTTAGGAAGGCCCTCAGATCTGAGGACCTTTGGTGACGTTAGGAGAACTGTGGAGCCACAAGTGCCAGCACAAGGGAAAGA